GGTGGGATGACCCCACCCAGCGTGGACTATGCCCTAGACACATTCCGCGGAAAAGCACGCGGAGATCGACAGTCCTGTGTCTTCACGCCTTCCTTGCTCTCACCTTCAGTACAAGGGATGCACCAGTGAGAAAGCCACGATGCTTACGAGTCTCCGCCCAATTGTTTGTCGCGGAATGTGTCTTTAAATCAGTCTAAACAACTCTTTCTTTATCAGCCCTGACCTCAATTTCAGAGCGGGAGATTTTCACGCTGGTGGCATGAAAGAGACCCTACCTGATGAAGAACAGATAGTGACAAGGTACCCCACCTAATTAGCGAACGAGGAAGGAGAGAAAGATAAAAAAATAGAACGAATGAACTGACCGGAGGAAACTTAATATAGTCCTGGTTGCATTATGGCCATTCGCTTGGCTGTGCCAGGATTGCGTGAGCGGATCTGAGGATTTGAGGCCATTTGACATGGTCGCTGAAATCTGGCCAATAAATCAATTCGTAATAAATCTAATTGTAATAAATGAGTTCAGTCGGAATACAAGGCATAAGTCGTTCCAAAAACAAGAGCAATAAAAATTCAAGTAATAGCGCAGTAAAAACAAACAACAATATTTTTATAAATGAAATAAATAAAATAAATATAAAAAGTATTTTCATACACAGAAATTGCAATAAGCACAAGTCCACTCGTATTTTGCCAGCTGAATAGAGATTTTTTGCCCTAACGCGAAGTTTGTGAATAGCTCCACTCTGCCTTCGGAGACTACTAGTTTTTCTTAGATAATGCACCTAACAGGAGGTATGCAATGGATGGAATAGGACTTTCGGGTTGAAAAAGGTCGTGCTCGAGGGAGGGGCTTGTTGTCTTGGCTACTTTCTCTATACCCAGTATGGGACCTGGTTCAAGGTGATTAGGGGAAAGCAAAGGATACACAGTGAGCTCATATTCACAATGATGATAAGGGATGAGTGCTAGACGCCCCCCCCCCCCCTCCCCACCAGGAAGTCCCATGAGCTCAACGTGCGCTCCGAATCGTAGAACCATTGGGAAGCATGCCGAGCAGGTGCTGCGGTCAGATGTTATAGCAGTTTTTCGGGAATCCTAGAGCCACATGCAAAATGACCATCAAAATATGAATCAAAATGACCAGAAGCAAGTTTATTTGACCAGGAGGACCGGAAAGAGGAGGAACGTTCAATGCAGAAACTTTACCCGCCTATTGTTCTAGTCCAGGTTGTGCTGACTAACGATACAGCTATGAAAAGTTGAGTGATTTTCTCGCTTTCGTACAGGTGAGCAAGGGAGAAATTTCAAGCGTTATTCAGGTAGGAAATGGTAGGGGGTGGCTTTTTGCACTTTGCTTGTTCTCTTTACTACTTCATGTAAACTAACAGGTATTACTTTGGTGCGACTTGTAAAGTACTGTGAAGCTGCAAAAAAGGTAGTAAGGGGCGCTTCGGTTGTCAGGAATTTACAGACTTCACAGTGCCGGGTGGCTTACAACAAAACCCCGCTCACTTACAAATTGACGGTCCACAATATCGATTTTGCGCCCAAAATATTTAAAAAAAACGCTTTTTTTGTAGATCCTTTCGATAATAAACTACACTCTTGCTTCGCTGCGGGGATGAAGGGGGTGTGAAGGTGTCAGTTTAGGCACTGTAGATGTTGCCATGGCGCCAACCGTTCTTCTTGTCAGTCGTTTGAAGGGTCTACGCGCTACAATTGGTAGAAAACGAGTTATACAGACGATATAATACAGTCTACTCATTTGCTCGCTTCAACAACTGGTGAAGAATGGGTTTGGCACCGCGCCAAACTCGAACTGATATGCCCATCGTCCGCCCAGCAACAGACACTTACTCACTTTGTAGAGTTATGACGGAGAATCAAAAAATAAAATGAAAACGAGCCGAAGTAGCAAGTGATGATTATTTTCTTTCGTTGATTAAAGGCACCCGAACTCGTCGCATTATTTCGCCTACTTCAGAGAGTGGATTAGGCGGGCGGAATTCCATTTAATAGACGCACAAGCGCGAGTCGAGTAAGGTCGACAGTAAGGAAAAGCGCCTCAAGAAATTGCCACCTGCCCTAGATAGAACCCAATTTTGTACCAGTTTGCTAATGCGACGTGTGACACGGGTGCCCAATTAAACTCTATACTCCCACACTAATGCACAGTTGAAACACAGATAGGCGCACAGTCCACCGGTCAATAAACACAGCTGACGATTTTTCATGCTTTTTCGTCCTGCAATCTCGTTTTTCACTGAAAGCCGGGCATTGGAGGCGGAGTCTGGAGGCGGAGTCACTGGAAAAAAGGAGGAACCACTGAACCTATATTGCGCTATAGCGCCCCTCCCTAGAATTTTTTGCCGCGAAACCGGTACAAGGTTGTTCGTCGCGGACCACTCTAACCTCCTGACGCCATATTTTCAACTTCGATACCTGATCGCGGACCGTGCCTTTAAGTACGCGAAATGCTGACGAGCCAACATAAAGCAAACTCTAGTGAACAGTGCGCTTGCTCAAAGCTTTGGTAGTGCTATATAGTTGGGAAATTTTGAAAAAGAAAGGAAAGAAGAAATTTCAAAGCCACTGTGTTGCTGCAATATATGAAAACTCGTTCACTAAGTGATTGGACAGTCCTGATACTTAGCACCCTGAGTGCGTATAGTAATTCCTTTAAACCGATGTAGCCATAGAGATAGTCGAACAACAAGGCCATGTTTTCTGAATAAAATACTATCCTAACTTTGGCATGAGGTTCTGCCTACAAGATCCAACTTCAGTTGGAAGTATCCCAGGTGTATCGAAAAAGCGGCTAAATCGTTTGCTAGATTAAGCATAAAAAGATGGAAGTGGCGTTGGAGGGGGGAGGCACGGCATGGTTTAGGTAGTAATTGGAATTTCATCAGAAAAAGCCACTTTGTTGAGAAGAAAAAAAAACTTCGAACTACTCATGTGGCGCGATATATCTATAGGCCCCGGAAGGGCACTAGTAATCGGAAACACCATTGGCCCGGTGAGTAATTTATCAAGAATTTTTCACGTTCGCTCGATAGCGTACCTGCTCGGAGCATTCAAGAACATCAAGGGAGTAGTGAAAAAGACGGAGAACATACATACCGTACCCACTTCTTCAATCCCAA